CTATCAGAACTGGTTTATTTTTTTCAATTGGTTTTTATTCTAATTTTACTAAGTTTTTGTTCTATGACTTTTCTGTGACGCACCAAGCTTAGGAGAAACATAAACTTTGTTTTAATTATTGTCTGGATGTGCTACCAGGCTACCATGCCCAACGATGACGATAATTTTTATCAGACATCGCAAGACCTTTTTTGCCTTTTGTAGGACCTTGGGGGCCCGGAATCACAAAAACAATTTTCAAACTTTTGAAAGTGAAAACCTTTAACCTCAAATTTGGAAGAGTTTTTTATTTTTACAAAGCTATGTGAACTAAAAATTGAGAAAAGCCTAACGTTCACAGTAATCCAATTGACTTCGTAAAGTTTCTTATTTTTGATTGTTTGAGAAACATTGAAGTTATTCTACTGGTGTTGGTTTACACGTGCGAAGAAAATTAAAATGTTACAAAATTGTTACTCAGATCGGCAGGAAGACAAGGGCCAGAATTTATCGTTTTTAAACATATTTATTTCCAACAAAAACGATAGTTACCAACTACTAATTTGAACGTTTTTATTCAAATCATCTTGTGATATTCAGCATCTTTATCATCTCCGAGGACATTTTTTTTGTAGATTTCTGGCTACAAAAGACACCTTCGGACACCTCATAACCTTGAATTGTCTGATATAATGTTGAAATATAATCCCTGGGGCATGTCAGTTTTCTATTTATCAATTTATAAGGCACAGGTGACACCCGTCCAAAACAAACGAGAACAAATATATCTTCTGAAACAACTGGTACAGATAAATCCAATTCAAATATGGAGGAAGCTTAATGAGCTAGACTGAGTTTAGGTAAGTAGAAAACTGAAATGAAACGTTTATTTTTATTTTTTTAATTTTTCTTTGGAAATATTTCAGAATTATTTTTGTGAGAGAACGAAAAAGAATAAAAATCACTTGCTTGCCAACGAACCCATGTTCACTCTCTTTTCCAGGATTATGATTGCTTCCTTCTGCGAAATAAAAATAAATAAGGATGGACGGTACGTTTTCATGCCGGTTAACAAACCGTTTTACAGCCTTTATCAACCACACCGTTGATTCTCTCTCACTCTCTCTCTCTCTCTCTGTCTTGATATGATTTGTGCCTTGTGGAGTTAGCAGGGTCTGACGCAAACCAACTGATTTATTTTGCATTAACACTGAGTATTCATATCAGTTGTAGAGTTACTTGAAAAATTGTAGTTTTTTGGTAAAAATTAGATAAAAGCAAAAAAAAATTCTTTCTGAATTTAGATTATGAGTTCTTGAGACAATGGGATATTGATTGAGTATGGTTTCATAGGAAATCGAGATGTAAAGTTTTTTTTCGAATTTGCCCGACTTAGAACTCAGCTAGACTTTCAAAAAAAGACCTTGTAAAGTTTACAAATATTCGAGATGTAAAGTTTTTTTCCGGATTTTCAACTTTTTTTCACGCAATCCAACACTTCTTTAAGAAATCAGAAGTTTTATGAAATTCTACACACTCGATTAAATAGTTAGCAATCTCAAGATCTTTCTCTAGTCCTACTTAGGCATTAAGTAGAACTTAAAAGGTTTATAGGACACTTAACTTGAAGTTTAGGCTAAAAAACTAAAATTTCACCGTAAGATTTGCGTTCTTACGGTGAAATTTTAGTTTTTTAGCCTAAACTTCAAGTTAAGTGTGCTATGAACCTTTTAAGTTCCACTTAATGCCTAAGTAGGACTAGACCAAGATCTTGAGATTGCTAACTAATTAATCGAGTGTGTAGAATTTCATAAAACTTCTGATTTTTTAAAGAAGTGTTGGATTGCGTGAAAAAAAGTTGAAAATCCGGAAAAAAACTTTACATCTCGAATATTTGTAAACTTTACAAGGTCTTTTTTTGAAAGTCTAGCTGAGTTCTAAGTCGGGCAAATTGAATGAGGCGGACTTCATTGATAAAAACAGACAACCATAGCTTGTTAAAACTTTTGGAGGCGTTCTCAAGTAACGTAGCGACCAGAAACGCCGTATCTATTGCCCACTGAGCCAAAGAGCCATGCCTCTAAAAATGTTTAGACATGATTCGAAAGGCTTCCAACAGATGTTATTTGCAAAACAAATACCATTAGAACGCAAAAATTGATACACAAAGGCAATCCTTCATACAAACATTCATTCATTTGTTTTATATTTAAAACTGTATTCGTATGCTCAACATTTTACCACTTAAATTTAACTTAAAAAGCTTAACCATCAACAGTTTTCGCGTTTGCAGTGGTGGATTTTTTTTTAAAATCAGCAATTTTCTACCGAAATATTTGTCAATATATTGCAAAGGAATTCAAAAAGTTGAACTCTCCTTTTAATTTTCGCTTTCTCAATTTCAACTGTTCTTGATTGAGTTAAAATTTTGAAAATTTTTCTGGTAAATCAAAATCTCCAAGATTGAACACAAGGTTCCATTAGAGAGCTATTTTTTGAAAATTTTAAAACTCGAATTTGAATTAACGCTTAATTCTTCCACAGCAACGACTGAGTTGTTCTGTGCACGAGCAAGAACTTTTGCATGGATATCAAGAATATTAACAACATACATCTGCCCATTGTATCTAGTGTTGACTACCTCGAAAGTTTTTGTGTGTTACAGAAATACTATAAAAAAGGAAATTGATCATGAAAAAAGTGTGTATTGCAACGTGTGTCTGCATTGTGTATTGCAAAATAGTCTATCTGAGCTAAGCAGACTATCATATGCATGACAATCACGGCCTTCCACTTTGCTCCTCAATTGATGAGGCACGGAGTTCTTCGAAACCGTACCAGACAGTTTTCAATGGAATCCTGAAGTTTTTCTAATTGCCCATTGATAAAGATGAGATGGATTTGCTCGACTGCAGGATCTGAAAAAAAATTACATTCGTCGAACTGATACTTGAACATGTACTGATGGGATCACAGAGAGACCAAATGTCTGCCAAATTAAACATGGTGAAACATGACCACGGTGACAGCTCATCTAAGCAATATCAAAAGACAAAGCTGTACCTGAACTCTGCGTTCGTTGTCGTTGTTGTGCACTTTTTTCGACAGACAAGAGAAAAAAATTCAGATGGTGTAACATATTTTGAAATCAGTAAACTGCCCCGCGTTTCATGGAAACGGATGAGTTATTGAACGAATCTTGACAAAAACCACCAGTTTTGCCCAGGTTTCTCCCATAAGTGCCGGGAGCTACTAGCGCCTTCCAGCTGAATCGAAGAAACGAAACTAAGTTTTGACTAATATTGATACACAAGAAGACAACTAATGTTTCGCGTATTGTTTTAAAGCAGCTTAAAACATAAAGTTCAATTTGGCTTTCTACGATTTGTATATTCAATACTCTAACGAAAACAAAATTCAGACCTACAACTTGGACAGTGAGAAAGTGGAGGACAAAACTTAAGGAGACTTCAACACGCCAATAAACATTTTGGAAACGGACGATTTGAACGACCAAGCAATGTTTAGATAAATTTCTTCCGGTAAGTTTGGCTAGTCGTGTTTTTGAAAGTGTGCGATACCCAATAATAAGTAACGCTGATGCAAAAAAATAAATTATATGTCTTCTGACAAGAAAGAATATATTCGTTGAATCTGAATGAAACAAAAAAAAACATATATATTTTTTGATACGTTCCTGGAGAACTGCTGCGTATGCTTGTCTGTGATTTTGTCATGCACCTTCTTCAATTCTCCGACGGATCAAAGTACCACTATGTTATTTTAAATGACCTCGTGAAGCTGGTAGAACCCTTCGTGGGTCGTGATCCGAGTACGAACCAGCACAATAACAGGCAGTGGGAAATAATTTGAAATGTGGGCAAGCAGTTCCAAAGTTGTTCAGAAAACATTATTTACTTTTCTTTCGGTCAGAACCTAAGTAGAAAAAAGATACTACTACACTGGTCGATCAAACTAGCAACCCAGAAAGCAGTGAATGCAATTCACCTCTGATTAGAAGCAAAAAAACAAGCTTTCATGCTAAATGAATTGAATTTGTTGGTTTTTGTTTGCGTTTTTGTATAAATAAATACCGCGTGTTTATGATTTTGTGAAACTGATTGCCCAGACTGTTCAAAAAAAAAAACTAAAGTTGTCTCTTAATCCCCACATTGAAAAAGTGAAATAAAAGGTGAAGGAGTCAAAAATATAAGAAATTTATGCTCTCAACATATCAGACTATTAATAGTTGAGTAATCACAATGACGATAGAAAGTTTACAAGCTATATTTTGATTTTTTTAAACGGCCTTTAGGCAAAAAAAAATAAATCTGTAAGGAAACCAGCATTCTGCAGTTGTATTTGATAAATCATTACGAAGCTATCCTCAACATATTGGCGTTAAGTTTTGGAGAACTAATCAACGATCCTGGTAATCTCTGGAAAATATTAAAATACTAATTTCCCGGTTTTTTCACAATTAAGTTTTTTCACTAAATTAAATGATATGCCGCGACCCATGGTTAGCTTTTTAAGGATCACCCGTTATTAGTATTTTACTGAAGTACTGTGACAAAAACTCAAAACTATCTCTGAGCAAAAAAATCAAAATTTGTATAAGTTCTACCAGACGTTGTATACAAAATATCAATTTGTAGAACCTTCCACAATTTGTGTGAAAAGTTCTTTCATTTTTGCTAGCTTCGTCATTAACTTGTTGAGGACAACCTCTTCAATATTTATGGCTGATCCAGATCTCTTACTAATTTTGTATTTGATGGCTACATGGCCTGCAAAGTTATCAAGTTGTTTGGAAACTTGTTTGACGTTGGTCAGCAATTCTATGAAGTCAAACAGGTCGTCAATATTTCTAATGTAGGTGTGCGAACAGTGAATTTTTTCATGTATTGTCTGCTGTTTTTTCTCTATGAGAGCTAGTACCCCATTAAATTGATCGTGATTGAGTTTTTCTAAATCCTGACTTGTTCGGTCTGGCTGGATGTTTTTTCTGATATCAATCAACACCTCGTCCATTTTCGTCTTCGTTTTCCTCAATTCGTAGATGATAGCCTCTTTCGGCTTGAGTTGTTCAATAAGATCCCGTTTTCTTATTTTGATTGCCCATTTGTTTTCTAAATAACACACTTCGCATAATTGCTAGCCTTAACATAGCGTACGATTCACCGAAGTTCATTTTTTTTGATAAGAAAACCCAAGTTCTCTTATATTTAGCTTTTTCTAATTCTGTAGCCCAATGAAATTAAAGCTGCAGGCTTTAGTAGCATCATCATAAAACTTTTGCTGCTTCTCTATAAAAACTTCAATAGCATCAATTTTAGAATAAAGAGAGAAATCATTTAGTTGAATACTTTCAGATACATACTTAGAGCATTTCAAATATTTCATCAATTACGCAAATTCTAGTTGAAAAAAGAAAACGATCAGATCTTTAAAAACGATAAATGTTTTTTTTTAGTTTTCAAATTTTTACAAAGCTCTTGGAAATTGCCTTTGTATTTCAGATTCAAATACTCAAGGCAGGCAGATTTTCTTATTTCTGAGCTTAATAAAAACTAATGATTTATCATTTTTGAGAGCGAATTGGACAAATTTCCTGGTTAGATTTAGTCGGCGCATTTTATCCATACGAAATACTCTTATAACTTTTATGACAAATGAAAAATTGAGTACAAACACCAAAAAAAATTTTAAGGATTAACTCAAATTCACCTAGACATAAAATTTATAAGAAAACTGCTGTCTTGTTCGGGCAATTTTTTGAAAGAGAAAATATAAATTAGATTTTGTGCAAGGCAACATTGACATTTCTGCAATGTTCATTTGTTTTTTTAATGTTGTTATTCATACACTGATGATAGAAGTACTTCTCAAGGTTGTTACGCTGAAAAAAGTTTTTTCCTTAGACTGGGTTGTGGAGATTTACTAACATCATTTTTGGCGCTTTAAATTAGTACTCAATACGGATCAAATTTTGATTTTAAAATCAAAAACAATTTGGTCAAATTATTTTCCAATGGGATCATCATTCCCAATCTTTCATCATTTCAAAAAGATAGCGAAGTATTTGACTATTTCTTGGAGGACTTAACGCCAACAATCCAAAACATTGAACTAGCTTATCTCAAAAAAAGTGTTGAGATTTATCATTTGAAAAAATCCCAGGAGAGAAAAACTCTTCCACTTAACAATGAAACAATGATGGAGGTTCAGCAGTAAATCAACAATTAGAAACACCATTTCTACAAATAAAAAATCTTAAACTTTTTTCTAGCCGCAAAAAGAGTTTGGTGTTGTTCTTGGAGCCATGAACTGTTATTTTTTTGAAGCGACAGTTGTTACGCAAACAAAACTCAGTCAAGAAAAAGGTAATTGAATGAAAAATAACATTAAAAAAATGATGCCAAAAAAAGAGCTGTTTTACTATCAAAACTTCCTACTGTATTATAATTTAGTTTGAAAAACACTTTCTCTGAAGCTGGAGAGAAGCTGCAAAGAGAATTGAAAAAAATCGGATTTGGAACCGTGATTTATCATTGTTGCTCAAAGCTTTTAAAGCATTTTTCTGAAGGAGAAAAGCTTAAGCTATTTTATGTTCTCACCAATTAAGTTCTCTGGCTCCACGAACGTTAGGCTCTCTTCTAAACATAAGTACAGTATGTTAAACGTTAAATGGTCTCTGATTTACTGTTATTTTGTTATTTTCACCCAAAAATTTGTTATTTTCAACCAGGGTGAAAAAATATCACGATAAGGTGTATCATGTATTTGAGAAATTGATAATATGACTGGTGCCAAAACTATTTATATGTCAATACATTTCTTTGTATTGTCTTGTTCGCAAATGTGATTATGTTGTGTAATTTTTTAAAATATAACTCACCTTCAATATTGTTTGGGCGTACGCCACCCACCAGCTCGGAAGAGCTATCAGAATCTAAACAAAAACATCTGGTGTACTTAGGAAAGACGCCCTAGACCTTTGACGTTATCACAATTATCTGAGGTAAGCTGACACATAAACCAAAATGCTTAGACTTACATGCTCGAAAAATCAGTTTATTAATAAAAAACTTTGGCAACACTCAGCTATTTTTCAGCCACTATTTAAACTTCAAATGACTAAATGAGCATGTGAAATCAAGCAATTGTTTCCACTTGACTGATTTCAACTTCTGTTTTTTTAACCGTCAATTACCGATCGCTATCCATCCATTTGTTTTGTGAAAAAATTTGGCTATTTTTCTTTTCCCAAGACAAAAATACTCCATTATAATCCATTACAGTTGTACAACTCAGACCGCGAAATCAATTATTTTGCCATTCTAATCGATTGTTTTTGAAAAAAAAGAAGCCATTACAATCCATAATTTTTGGCACTGAATTCGATTATTTTTGCCAAGTTGATCCATTATAATCGATTATTTTTCCAAAAAAAAATCCTAAAACTCTATTATAATTGATTTTTTTTCTGCAACAAAAATCCATTATAATCCATCATAATTGATTATAATGCATTAAAATTTTTGAACTGAATTCGATTATTTTATGCAGAATTTTTGCAAGTTTTGCAGGAAATTTACAAAAAGTATGCCATGTCTTTTTCTAAATGCCACGTCTAACATCATCCCCTCGAGTAATTTTTAACTCCCCCCAATTAGAGAGGAGGGTTTGAACTGGGGCGTGGGGGGTGTCAAACCAAAACCCCTCCTTCAAAGTCTACCAATAAATAGGCGAATGACATTTGTTGTCTGGGATTAATTAAACTGAGGGCGGTGGGGGGAGTTAGAGTAAACTGGGGGGCAGGGGGGGGGGGGGGGGGGTAACAAAGTAAACTGGGAAAGTGGAAGTAAACTGGGGGAGTTGGTAAACAAAGAGGGGGAGGTAATATGCGGGGGGGGGGGGTAAAACAAAGTAAAAAACCGTTCACACCCCAATATATTAAAATTATATATACATCTTAATGTGAAATGTAACATTTTATAAAACGTTCTATGTAGCATCTGCATTAAACAGGAAATGAGATAAATTTGAAAAAAAAGTGGTAAATTTCACAAAAAACCTCTCGAAAAAATCAATTATATTCAATTATAACCGATTATAATGGATTATTTTGGCATTAAAAAATTAGGATTATAATTCATTTTTAATGGACTTAAATCAATTTTTTTTTCTAGTTTTATAGATACTGACCATGTTATGGCAATATAATCAATTATGATCCGTGGGCTCTCGGTGCGGGTAGGAACTTACTTGTTGCCCCTCGTGTGATAGGCTCCTGACTCATTTTGGTAAATCTGAAAAATGTAAAAATAAACAAAAGAACTGTAAAAATCTTAGAGAATACTCGCTCAAATCTCAACACTATTTCTCAGAAACCGTTATGCTTGCTGTAAGTTAGAATGCTACGCCGTGCGATACAGAACCACGTGCAAACTATTTTATTTTGTGATTTTTATCGTTATTTTAACCTCGTCGAGAACTGCGGTATTGCTGAAGAAATATTTTCTGCTTCTTTTTTTTACGTTTGCTTTGGTTTTAATTGCTTCTATTTATATTTCTTGTCGACGAAATGGGTTATGATTGTTGCAATTGAAAACAAACTAAAAATTGTTTTGATGTCAAAGTTAAATTTTAACAAAAGTAATTCAGCTAGTTTTCAAACAAACTTTAATGGAAAGCATCGAAGACACTTTGAATGATATCTGCAAGTTTCTCTCAGATCCCATTATTAAGAGCTCGGATAACTCTGGTCGCATTTTGGTAATAACAGATTTCATTCGAAAAGTTCAAGAGCAAATCAAACATTCACCGGAGATTTTAGTCAACAAAGAAATTTCAACAGTTATCGACAATTTAAAGGGGCATCTGAGAACACTTGAATATGCATATGTTCTTGGTGCGAGGAAGAATGTGGTTCTCGAAAAAGACCTCGATGACCTCATAGAAATTACAAACCATATTTCGTCACAATTACCTTCTGAAATCACTGGTCCCACAGCCAAGAGCCCAGCTGTAGTCAAACAGTCAACCTTCTACGATATAGACACACTTTATTCAACATCAACCTTCAACAAAAACATGTTTGTTACTTTTTGTTTCAAAAATACCAAATTGAGGGTTCAAATGTCATTGTATGTGGAGTTTTTGAAATGATAGGAAGTTTAACGGGCATGTTTCCCACCAAATAACATTAGCTCTGTCTGGTTTGGGTTTTAAAAATAATTGAGCTTTTCAAATAGAATCGAAAATCGATTTGTTTTCTATATAGTTAAAGAATACAATTGGATGAAGACATTCGTTTTGAAGCATCAACAAATATCAGAGACACTTTGGACTTGATCTTTCAAAAACAGAGACATCTACATTCGGACAATAAAACTGTTTTATTATGTTTTGTTACGCTAACTTAACTAAATTCGGCTCTTTTTCTTTTCCCTTCCCCACCTGCAATTTTTTACTTGTAAAGTTTTAGTTCGCATTTTCCGATCGTTATGAAAATTGACATGCGGACTAATTAGGCTGCGCCAAACATATATTGGTGGTCAAAAATGACCTTGTAAAATGACTTGTTACACCATAAAATTGATAGTCATGTGAGGTGGGGGGAGATAGCGCCCTAAATTCTGGAATAACACCTTAAAAAATGGACATTGGTTTCTTTTCCATTTTGTTCCACTTTTAATCGAGTGGCTCAACTACTTTAAATTCAATGCAGATTCAAAAAAAGCGGATGATTTCAATTGAACGAACTGTTTTTTTTTTTCGTTTTAATAAATGAAACCATACAGTGTGTCTGTTCTGTGATGATGTACTAGGTATCTTTCTCTTTTCTTTTTTGATTTATCGATATTCAAACGTTTCAGAGATGAGTTCAGCGAACCAAAAGATGCAGAGCCATTAAAAGGTTGCGA